AATAATTATTGTTCTTAATTGTTAGTAATACATTATATTACTTTTTAATAATATTTAAAAGTCGGAACTGTTATTCGTTCATGTTTTAAAAATATTAATTGAGTATAAATAGAAGGAAACTTAGTATATTATGCTACTTATCAGTGCCGTTACAATCGTTATCTGTTATGTTTCTCTCCAAATCAATGCAAAGTCTACATTTTTTTCCATCTTTCATAAACCTTTTGAACACAAAACAATTGTAGTGATATTTGTGTAAAAATTTGCAACAATATCAGCACTTGGACAATTTAAAAAAAAATCTTTACTAATTAGTACAAGTTATGACTAAATATAACTCTGCGTGTCATTAATTGATCGTTTTCTTCAAAATGATGGACTCATGGTAGGTAACTGATGGTAGGTTAACTACCGATGATAAGATGCGATATAATGCAGAATAAAGTCATTTTCTACATATAACAATAATATAAATTATAAAAAAAAACAATAATTTTCAATAAATGGATTTGAACTAATAGCTAATCATTAAGTAATTGTCGAATATAATAAAAATATTCCATTAATTAACACCAACAAAATATTTTAATCAAAGTCGCGTGTTTATAGTTTCTACGTGCTTGGGTAAAATGTACACATAACATAAAATCTTCGCACTATTTCCGTTCTGTTACAGGAAAGATTTACATGTATGAAAATTAAAATATTAAAATATTCAAATAAATGAATGAAGCCTGTAAACAAACTGGATCTGTCGGTCCAACCGTCAATGTATAAAGCGGAAGCTCGCCATGACTCGCATGGGATTTCGATGAATCGCTATTGCATTAGCGTATATCATCCCTACTTAGCTTTCCTTCAAGCTCAAGACAAAAGAGGCCGCCGTGATAAAGTTTCTCGCTCAATGTACGTGCTCTCCTTGGTTGGTTTTAGCCTCTTCTGTTACTTTATAAGGCAACTGGGCCTCATACGTGACAATCGACAGGATCACAACGGCACGATATTCAACCTTCTAAGCTATTACATTCATTAGAGCGGCGTATGATATAAGTTACCATTTTCTCATTATTGATACATTTTAGATTCTTTCGCTCCCTGAATAACAACAATTAAACATTCATTTTTTACGAATTTGTAAATGCATGGATCTTGAAATGGATTATAAATTGCTAATTCCATTGAATTTCCATTTGACTGATCCATTGAACTGCTGCTAATTTTGTATTTCATGGAGAAGTATCATTCAGAGATTCGCTTATCAAGTGTTATCTTGGCGATGATGAGGACAGATAACATTTACGCAGGCACTAGGGGAAAAATTAGGGAATATATTGAAGAAGATTGTTGAAATAAAGAGACGAGAAATGATAATCCGACTTACTTCGTTGTTTGAATTCATATTTAAGTATATGGTACAAGTAAAATTATTTATTAGCAGAAAAAATTCTTGTGTATAGTCATGTCATTGACAGATCAGTGATTTTAAATACCAAATATTAAACTGCCGGTTAGCTAAATAAAGTATCGGTAGATTTATTCTAATTAATCTTTCAACGTAATTCAATGTTCGATGTACTATGTAATTTCCTATTTAATTGGTTAGCGGAATTATCTATATGCTATAAAGTATAATTTTATGATGTCTTGTAGATCTAAAAATTTGGTAAATATATTATATAAACAATTGAGGTAAAAATTTTCACAAAATATTTTCTTTATTTAAAGGATGCAAACTTAGAAATTATTATTCATACCTTAATGAGATCACCAATGCTCTAGTCAATTAGTCACTTTCATTTATTATCTATTTACAAAATAAAGATGGGTTATCGCATGTAAATTGCAGAAAAACAAAAAGTATTACCATTATTATATTATTACGTTTTGTCAGGCGCGCAATCTGCACTTCCTGTACAGACGCCTCAATTGAAGCAACAAAGACAAAAAACAAGTCGGTACGAAGTGTAGAGGACACAGATGCAGTATCTGTCTCTTTTTCTCCGAGTGCTCGACTATTTTTGTATGTGAAAGTTTATTGGATGATTTAATTAATTGGGCTTACGGTACTAGTAGATTCATTGAGCTTATGATTGATACGCGCGGCTCCCCTCCCCCCACCTCCACTACTTTGACGACGAATCGTCGATTATGCTAACCAAAAGTTCTCAAAGAAGAAAGTCTCCAGATTTTACTTTTTAATTTCTTGCATATCTTTTTTAGTTTTTTTTTAAAAAGTATTTATATTTTCATTACCATGTGATTAATCATACTTAAATTAATTTTTTTTTAATCTGTAATTCATTGCAAAAGCTTGAACAGTATTAGAATAGTTATACTGAAATTCTCAAATAGAACTCTAATGATAACCGATCTGCAATTTCAGTAAACTTTAAACAATTATCACACCACTACAAATTTAAAGTATTAAATAAAATATACTAATGTAGGAAATACAAATATAACTTTTATATCTAGCAGTTAATTTTTCAAAATTCATGTTTACAAATCATAAAATAATTTAAAAAATACATGTAGGTATATTATAAAGGATAATTTATGAAATTGTATAATAGCTTATTTCTTAAAATTAAAATTTGTCTTAGCATTCATAATTTAAAAAATTACTTACTTAATTATTAATTATTAGAGTCAAAGTAAGATCATAATTACAATATTTTTAATTTGGCATAATATTATCAATATGATATCACTCCATTGTTCATTATTTCAATACAAAAGATAATTGATTATAATTGAATATATAGGCGAAATGAAAGATCAAATTTTTTGAAAATGTTATTATTTTTCAAGATTTGGAATGCAATATAATATATTTCTAAAGTTCGTTATTATTTATATAATTTTTATGTTTAAGGCTTGAGTCTAGGCAACATACTTGACAATCATATTTTTTAATATTTATAAGTTTTTGCATATTTAGCCTGTTGCTTTTAATATAGTATGTCCTATAGATTTATATTTAGTCAGAAACATGTGTTGATATTTCTCTTTGAGTGGAGCATTCATATATTATATATAATCATAGCATAAGTACTGTGTTATGCATTCGTTCACTTTTACTCTTGGGAAAGGGCAGACGAGTGTTTTTGATTCGTTTAAAGTTGTGGACAGAAAGAGAGAAAAAATGAAAGTGATTACTTACTAGTCGTGAAGCTCATCACGTACGAAACTTGCACACTCATTACACTGTCTGTAGTTGCTAGGGATAATCTCTTTACTCTCTTTCGTATTAAATATTTCGTCAAGTTTTAGAGCAATTATTTGACGAATAAGATTGTTTACGGTAGCGTATGTTGGGCAAGTAATTCACATATTGAATTATTCTAATAAAAGTGTACATATATAGGTAGTCTTAAAAGTATTACAAATGCTAATAACATTGTTCTGAAAATGCCAATAAATTAAAAGGAGTCGAAGAAATACAGCATTAAAACATTAAACTACAATTAAAATTAGCTTCGTGCACTGTGTAAGAAATAGAATGGTTTTACGACGCATATAGAAATTTAGTATTTATATTTTGTCCAAAATTTAGTTCCAAGAAACCACAATATTAACGATCGTGCCATTTGCAGATATTAACGAAACTAAACATAAAATATAGACTTTGCTTTTGTGATAAAAATCCGGATGTTACGTTTAAAAATATAAAATATTATCAATTTGTAGATAATATTTCTCGTACAGACGATATATATTATATATTATATATAAAAAAAAATAATTTTACGTGTATAATATTAAAAAAATTAAAAAAAATTTTTTTAATCTTTACTTTCTGAATGATTATATATAAATGATATAATTTATTTATCATTTTATCAGTATATCATTATCAAATATAAATTGTATTTTGAATTATTTTTTGTTTGTTTGTTTATATTCAATTATACGTTTATATAACTGAAATTTGTATTTTCGATTAATAAAATGAAATTTACATAACACGTGCTCTTACTGTATAATTTTTAATACGGATTTGTCTTTTTTGTTGAATAGTTGAAGGGGACTACTCCTTGACATAGCGATTCCTTTGTGCATGAATTGTTATATGAATTATGGAATGAAAGTTCGGTGTAAGAATTTTTTTGTGGATTATTGAAAACATTGGTATCTAACATCTCTCTAGTTATTTATAAATAAAGTTGACATTACCATAGTGTCTAAAATTAAGTATAAATATTCTTGATAATTTATTATTTATTATGATAGTATTTTTATGAAAATACAAATTAAAAAATCGCTTGAAAAATTGTTTGAAATAAAAACGAGACAATATTAGAAAGGAATCGTTTATTATTAGCGATAAAAGCTTTAACTTTATCAAATACATAAAGTAAATATTAATTTTTAATTAACATTCGAATAAATGTTTTTAATATTTTATATCATTTGACAAATTTGTAGTCATAAATTTATCAACTTTTTAAATTACTTCACAATTCGGATAGAATCGACCATTTACTATTATAGGGTCGTCGTTTTTCTCGGCTAATTAAAAAATAACCGATTAACATGGAATTAAGTATTACGGTAATAATGCTCACAAATTGTATGACCTCATCTATCTTTCACTATAATACAAAATATATTAAAAAATAATGTGTAAAGTGAATATCAATAAAAATTGGCAATACTGTGCGATATCAATGAAATTTGAACTTTTTATTGGAGCAACAAGTTGACGACCGTTGATCATGAAATACGAGATATCGGAATTAATAACGTGTCTCTTATTAATATTGAGTAAAATAAATTTCTTAACAGAAGGTAGGAGGCGAGTAAGCTGTACTTGATGTAATACCAATCTTTAGATTGAATTGCATATTCAAGATTATCTCTAAATAAGTGAGCTGTACCGTTATTCACACAAAACCGTTCGGCTTTTCAGTATAAGAGTTACAAAAAACGACTCTCAAGTAAATAGAGCCACAACAAATCGTACGATTAATAATTTATATTTGATTGTTTTTTTGCAGAGTCATGGGTGTTATGCCCAACCCCGGTCGACCGAATTACGCCACTGCCGTTTGGCAGTGGTGGCGAGGAGTTCCTGCGGCTCCTGAGGGATGCTCAGAGGGACTCGGCCCATTCCTCGGCCCGACACTCGCTCGCCTCCTCGCGACGTGATACTCCGCGCGACAGGTGAGAAATTGCCCAGGCGCTTTAAATTATTCGATATTCAATTTAAATTAATTGATAACTGAAGGCTTGCAACTGTGATAGGCGGTGAATTGTAGAGGCAGCGGATATTCCAGCATACTAGAGCAACCTCATAATTAATCGACGCGCGTACTTTAATGCTTCTTAAGTTTTCTCGCGGTTTCTGAAAAATGCTCGATAAAGTGCGGCTATGCATTGCAAGCTATTAATATAGTTAATCGGAGACTGTTTGATGAATTTCATAAAATGGAATGAGATTTCTTTTAACGTTAAATGTTCAACGCCAACCAGTTACGACATTGCACTATTATTAAATGATATATATGACTAATTATCATGAGAAATATATTTTCGATTTTTTTTTTAAATACAATTCATTGTTCTACTATTTAGATTTCAGGGCTTAAAAATTGAGTATTCTTAATAAGGATTTATACGAAGTAGAAAATGGATGGAAAAAAGAAAAGTAATATATTCCGCATGATCCATCGTTAGAATAATATTATTTATTTTGGTTAATGTAGTTGAGTTTTTCAAGTGCTAAATGCAAGTATTATACATTGAATTTGAACTGTATAAGAATATTTACAGTTAAGCATTATCTCAGATCTCTTTCAAAAACTTCCACGTACAATGCATTTGACATTAATTCGCATAATCAGTCCGACAGTTGTTACATGGCTTTCACGAAGGTGAAAAGGAAAAAGACCAATTTTATCGTGCATCTTGTAAATTCTATATCGTGGAAAATGTTCACTTTAACTCATTCATCTAAATGACAGGGTTTATATAAGTTATGCAATAATCATTTACACTTGACCATTGAAATAAACGCATTTAAATAAAGAAAGGCAATCGATAACAATCTATCTTCATAGTCTTTGATAACTTGATAAATTCACGTTGAGCTGAATTATCTTGATATTTACAATATCATGTTCGTATTATGAGTGTATTATATTGTGTGCATTGAATCATTTAACGAATGATCAAAGGTAATCTTCCTATTAGCTCTTCGTGTTCGGAAAAAACGAAAATTAAGAGACTTCGTTCTATAATAATATTGTATCTTTATTATGTGTTCTCTTTACAACTTATAGCTGGATAATATAACTTTTTTTAAATGTAGGCTGTGGTTTGCCCCAAATACGCAAACGCTCAGTTGTTTCGCGGTGAGTAAAAGCCAAAGCGATATATGCACGCAATTGCGAAAGTGGTTTTGTAGTCGTATGAAGTTGTCCCTAAGGTGGAAGATAATCTCACATCTTTTGCGTTTATCTTCAATATTTCATTCATTTTATTCCGATCGTAAATACCGCTATTATGGCTTTTGTTCAAATATATAATAATAGTATTAAATAATCAAAGTATCATAATTACAATATTACACTATTACAATATTACATAATTACAAAGTAATATAATATCGATAAAGCTGGATTATTGGACGATGAAAACAAAATTCATTTAATTATCACTAATTTTTGTAACAAAGCGATGGCAACAATAAGAAAGTGTTTGTTTGTATTTTATCCTTGAATTATAAAAAGTTTTAAGTGTGCTTGACAATTTATCTTAATATCCGTTGTATTTAATGACAATGATGGCAGACCGCAAGTCTAACGTTAAGAAATTGTACTATTTTGTGTGAATGCGTGTAGATTAGGGGATGATTCTCGTTACACAAAAGCGAGTTAAAGTACATCATTCATTAACACAGGATGAGCATTTTACAATTCTATGAATGTTATTTAATTCATTCTGCACAGACTTACTTACATTGCCTGATTTACAATAACTTTCACCGTTTGTCCTATATTTAAAATAAGCATTTAAAATTAAACGATACAGATTTCGTTAATTTTTTTTTTTTAATCTTATTGATATTTCTATAAAATAGACAATGCTTTGCTCCAAATATTTCGAATTAAAAATACTATATCAATGTTATTAATTATTAATCTTTCGTTAATATTTCAGTCCCAAGAGTCCTCCAAATAGTCCGAATACGGAATTATCGACTGAAGATGAGTTAAAAGGAGTCTACATTAATCACACTACCCAAAAGGTTGGTTTAACTTTATTCTTATATTATTGTGCATTTAAATCGTGCTAAAGTATTGTCGAAACAGACGTTAAATATAAATAAATGAAAACAAATGTTTTTAACAATCAATAGTGTTTAGTGTAATAGTAGGTAAAAGTATTATTTTTATGACTGTCTATTAGAAGTTTAATTTCTTATTTAATGAACCTATAAAATACTTAATTACATTTATGTAAAAGTATGTAAAAACTTACTTTAAAATACAACTGATATTTCATATTTTTAATTTTCAAGAATGTTTGTGCAAATTTTTTTTTATAAAATCTTAGATAATTTGATCATCGGTGATATTCTTGATTTATATTTTTGACAATAATTATTGATTTCTAGACCTTTTTTGAAAATCCTGTCTAAAAGTATCTTTTCCAAAAGTATTTCTAAAAGTACTTACAAAATAACAAGAAAGTGTTTTATCGTTCAGGGGCGATTATAAATATTAATAGTATGTAATTTTTGCAGGCAATAATTGAAAGAAATAAGCTTTTAAAGCTGTATAACGAATTTAATAAGTAAATTTTTTTGTATTTGGTACAAATCGAATTACATTGAATTATTTCGATTATTATAGTATAATAAAGACTAATATTATGATGAAAGCTTTTAATTACTTTTTAATTAATTATTGTTCCCTAAAAAGTTTGGTAATACTAAAAACTGCGTTTTCTATCTGTTCTAATAATAAACGTTGAAAATTTAAATGACATAAGATGTTGTTATAGTAAACTCGAACAAAGAGCTGTAGAACATTTGTTATTGCTACAATATTCACATTAGAGCAGATAATCTAGCGGCTAATCTCATTAGAAGAGATTTTTTTAATGTACAAAGAGAGTAAGGACAAAGGAGTGGGCACAGTTGATAAAATATATAAAACTTGAGGGCTCTGTATCAAATACATTTTTTCTTTTTATTTTCTTACATCAAGTGGTAAATGAACTTTAGCAATTCCGCACGTATCACATATAATTATGCACAGATCTGTCATCGGATAGACATCAGGGACGTACTGTGAACGTGGAATCGTACACGCACATATATAGATACATTTTCGAGGTAATTGCGACGCATGTAATACAAACTCCAGTAAATAGAGCGAAACTTAGCAAATATTAAATCGATGGAATATTAATCTTTCTTAAAAAACCGTGGTTTTATTTTTACAACTTGTCGCACAAGTGGAAATAAAGGAAACGGAAACAGAGAATATTGGTAAGAAAACGTAATCTCTTTATTTTTCGGTAATTGGATTGTGTCAATGAAAGTGTTTATTATTGATTATTTAATTGTAAACGATTTTTAATGATGAGTAACAAGAGTAGAGGTTAACACAAAATCTTTGTAAATCCAAAGTTCATTTTATTATACAAATTAATAGAGCTTAAATAACGTTATTGATAATATATGAAAAGAATATTATATAATTATGAGAAATGGTATTACGGGAAAACAAATGTACCTATGGTTATTAAATCATAATTATTACACGATATTCGCCATATTTATAATGGTATATAAGCTAAGGCATTTTTTTTTAATTTTGAGTGTCATATAATACACAATATATATTTATTATTTATATATTATTTTTCATTAGATGATAATAAAATTTATATATATTTAAAATATTTTTTATAGCTAAGTACATATTTTACAATAAAACATTTTACATTAATTTTCATATATTTTTACGATAAAATAAAAGATAAAAGATAACTATTTAGAAAGTCTGTATATGCTGTTATTTATCATCGAATATGAATTGTTTGATAACTGTTAACTGTAAAAAATCCAGTTCAAATATAGATATCGTAGCACCGCCGTAATTTTATTATTAATATTTATATCGTGTGATCGTTCGTGAATAATCCTTTGTGTTTGCTCAATTTTAAATGACGAAACAATGGGCTTAGTTGATTGGCATATTCGTAATTTTATTATTTAGAACGCTTAGCACTTAAGTGAAATCAACACAAACTCAAAACAGATATTTTCTTTGATATCCTCTCCACAAAGAAGATTCAGTTGACTTGAAAGATTATGCGATTTATACGACAATATGATGAATCATATTAAGTATTTAATTACGTCGTATTTTCTGATTTTACTATGTTTTTCTATGGAATGCTTCTTCATTACACAAACTAATAAATTTCTGCCATTGAACGTTAAAAGCCACGAGTTTATACCACACATGCATTTGAAAATAAAAAACCCATAATGATATAATTTGTATCAAGTATTTCTTCAATTTTCGATAAAAAAAATTACGCCTAATATTGTATGTACCAAAACAAATATTTCATACAATATACCTCGTCCACATTTAAGATCCACTTACTAAAAAATATTAAACAAAAATGTCTAATACTACACTTTGTGACTTCAAAATTACTGAGAACGGAAAGTTATATTTGCATTGTTGTATGTACATTGTTAGAAAGATATAGGCGCGCCAAAACAAAACAAAACAAACAAAAAAAAAACAAAAAAACAACAGAATAGTATATTTTTATTTCACTTCATAACATTCATTTTTCGTCGAATGCACAAAAATTATTTGGGTAAATTTCTCTTGTTTTAATTACTTATAAAATTAAGTTATTAATCAAATTAAATATATATATATATATATATATATATATATATATATATATATATATATATATAAATAGCCTTTAGTAATAAAAGTTTGTAAGTTTTTAAAAAATATTTAAAAATGTGATGTGCACTTTGACTGCTGAATGTATACATTTTTTAGATTAAATTTAATTGTCTTCCAAAATATTGGATTAGCTATCAATCAATATTGGTGTACATTGATAGAAATTGTATTGTTAATGTTGATAGAAATTTTAGCACTTGAAAAATAATAACATTATCTGGATTAGTTACAATAATCAATTTTTTTTAATCTTTTTAATAAAATTAATTTTATAATTTATTACTTGTATTTGCTGTTTATTCGTAATCTTGAAATTTATTTTAAAGTCATGCACAGATTGAATGTCATAAAAATGTAAACGAAGTATATTTTTAACATATTTACTACTAAAAAAATTTTGTAAACATCGTAACGATATTTGTTATAAAATCTTAATATTTGTTTGAAAATTACTTTTATTAAAAATTTAAAAACTATTATTAAAGGAATAATTTATCATTTTTCAACGCGTTTGCCATTAAAACAATGCCGTTATTTCTCATTATTAATTCTCTAGCCAATTTTATAATTTAGTATTTTGTTTTAATTCTGCCTGATTGCTAGCGATAATAAACTATAATCTAAATGTTTAATGCAAATTCTCAGGTGTAGTTATTTTATTTAATGAAAATTGAAAAACAATTATTTTGTTTGAAATATATAATCTGAATATATAAATAAATCACAGTATATCGACAATTAGATTAAGCAGTGTCCTACATAACACAAACAGATAAAATTTGTTTCTATAAATGGTAATTGTTACGCGCGGGGGGAGGGGGTCTGGAAAAAAATAGGTGCAACGGGATGAAACGAAGCGTAATATTTGAGAATTAGTAATTCGAAGCAATGGAATGTAATGGCTGAGATAAATTACGTGAATATCTGTAATTTTCTATTGGACACAAGAGAAAAGTAGATATACAACTAAAAAAACCGGTCCATCGTACGTTCGACAATAAAAACAGAAAAGAACAGTATACGTCTTTCCCCTTTTGTCGAGCCACTGATGCGTAATTTCTAGCCATACAAGGTTGCGATCCAGTCGATCCATGGCGAGCGACTGCTATGGTTCCGTTTAACTTCGCAATGCATTCGCGGGACGAATTTTCTATATGATACTGATACTCGAATTTGAATAATTTACTCGATTTTAAAGTCAATCGAGACCGTGAGATCTCATATTGGTCATTCTTTGAGCGTTAATCATGCAAATTGGAACCGATGGGCTTACCACAGTTCCTTCCTTGTTGCAGCTAATCAATGCCTCTAAGAATTACAAACTCGATCTTGGTTTTTGATAATGCCCACTGGATCCTGGTAGCGACTGATCGAAGGTCGCACTTTTGCTTGGCTGCACGATGTCCATGATCTTTGTGATCTCCGTCATCTCCGTCATCTCCGTGATTCTGAAAAAGACTATGGTTATGACGAGTAACGAAGCGCCGCTCGTGCTTTGGTTGACCCTTGGAAGGTTGATAACGGCTGATCGATCCCCACTGCCGGGGCCCTGCTTACATTTGCCTGTTTGCAGCTTTATTTTGCTCATGCACGAGTAATCTGGCCGCTCAGCTGCTTGTTGATTCGGTGGAGGGATTATGTCGCCGCGTGTGGGCGCCTCCTGTCCTACATTTTTAATCACAGCATTGTGCGCTCCATCTATAAGAATTCTTTTCTCTCTCTCTCTCTCTCTCTCTCTCTCTCTCTCTCTCTCTCTCTCTCTCGGTTTTGTTATTATCCTAATGTCGAGTTCTAACGCCAAGACCGTTGCCTTTGTGTATTATCATTACGTCATTTACCAATAATCACCGGCTACTATTAAGTCATCTGTATGTTATATATTCACGTATTCTTGTGTTTATTCATTCAATCTTCGCACACATCGTTATAAACTTGACTTGATACTGGCAAATGCGAAATTCCATTTTTAGATATTATTCATAAATTAAGTATGGAGAAGGTGTGGACTTTGAAAGATTTGCGGGTACTTTAAATGTTTCTTTGTATAATATAAGTCTGATAATGAAGCTGATATTGCCATAAAGTAATATAGCATATAACTTATTACAATATATTGTGTCCTTTAAAATATAAGATTGAAAACTTAATAAAATAGTAAAAATTTACCATAATGATGTGTTAAAATATATTAGGAAATAAAAATGGATTTTAAAGATTAATTCACTTTTACTCAATTTTTTTAACCTTACAATTCGTCATTTTAAAGATAAAATTTTATTTTGAAATAATCTTATTCGAG